AAAAATGTTTCTTGAGACTCTTGTGATTTTTGAGCCCATTCTGGTTTGCTCGTTGCTGTAAATCCAGAGCAACCTATATAGAATCTTGGAAATAATTCTGTAAATTCAGGACTAAATTGGGTGCTTTTCCCTTTAAGGGGCAGATTTAAAGGAATACCATCCTTTGTTCTAACAAAATAGTCCAGGCTTGTCAATCCAGAAGATTTGTGCATTGCTGAACATAATGGCATTTTATTACCTAGTTTATTTCTGTCTAGCATTCTAAGACTCCTGCTGGTGCTTTGGCTCAGAGTAGTTTTTGGTTTGGAAACATGAACTCCAGTGTCACAGATGAGTTCTTTCTTTTCGTAGTGCATATTATTATTTTTTTAAAGTTATTAAATGTTCAAGAAAGAAAGCGTTTGGCCAGGCAGAAGTTGTGTTTCAAACTGTGAACACCTAAGCAGCAGTGTGTGAAAATAGTAGCCTTTATTTTTGCTCCTCGGTCTCCTGTTAATGCACAGTTAGTTTGTTTCTAACAGTAGTTCAGTGTATTATAGTTAAACTTCACTACTGTGTATAACAGGTCTCTCACCTTCCTCAGTTGTGAATCAGTAAACCACAGCCCTTTTTCCTGCAAAAGGACGGATTTCCAAATCTAGAAGTGCCCACTGAAGACCAGCAGACTGCCCCATTCTTGAAGTTAGGGACATTGTATTCATGGAGTAACTTATGCAAATTAACGATGGCCATTATCGGAAATTGCATATTGATCCAGTGTAGTATTAAAGTAGCTTATTGCAAGGCAAATCCTGCAGTATTTTTAGTTTCTGTCAGGACATTTGCACATAGGAAAGGGTATCACAGCAAAGCTAGATTCAAGAGGTGGCTTTATGTAAATACAAAATAAATATGAAATTTCCTGCTTTTAGAGCAGCATTATGATAGAAGTAACCTTAAATGTAATTTCTTATGCAGTTTTATGCAGTGTAATTTAGTTTTTCCTTTATAAAACAACATACAAGGTTGAGAATTTTGGCTATGCCATTCCACATTCGGTTGTAACATTGTAAACATTCATCTTATATCTTCCTTTGTGGGAAGCTATAAATGTCCATCAAAATATTTGCATCTCTTTAGTAATTTAAAGTATTAAAAACAAGGGTCAAATTTCAACATAGTTGTCAAGTGGTTTCAGATTTTCACATACATTTCTATATACATACACCAGTTCATAGTACCCCTCTGTACATACTCATACCATGCTGCTTGTTCCTGACTGAAGCAATCTGTGAAAAGGATATACAGTTGCATCTTGTGTGGATATCAAACATAAAAGCATATGTATGTATGAGTAAATGCGTGGCATGTGCTTGTGGAAAAAATTACTTCTTGAATATATCTCATTGCTTTGATGCCCAGGATGCACTTTGCATTTTACACACAGAGGTTTTGTGCCATACCCATGGAGTGCTGTGTTTGGGATTCCTGAGCTGATTATGTATGATTTATCTCAGGTACTCCACGTATGTAGTTACCCAGGAGAAAAGCTAGCAGTGCTGTGTGCTTTTTCCAGTAAATGAGCAGGCTCATGTAGAGTTATTGCCAGGATTTTGTTGTGGCACTGCGTTGTGCTGTGTAGACATACCTTGGAGAAGAATTACGTGTAAATCACTCAATAGTCTGAGGCCGGAGTCTTGCATTTGACACAGAAACTTGCACAACCCTTACGACAGACATCTGTATGCTGGCCATTATTTTCTAACCGGATCCTAATGCTGTTCTATAAGATGACCTCTGCTTATATGTTATCCAAATAAAACGTTCTGAATTTTAATGAGTGAAATTTCATTGCTGTTTAATCCTTAAAATGCACTAAGCTAATTTATGAGTCTCCTTTAATTAATGAAAATTAGGTCCTGGACATAGATAGTAATTATTTTCATAACTCTCTTATTTTTACCTCCATAATATGTGAAAAGGGAAAATGACCAATTGTGGTTAGGCCAGAGGCCTTAATGATGGGTTATAGTTTCAGCACTGCCATTCACTCCTGCCAGTGCTGAGTGAATTTGGATGAGTCATTTAATGTCTGTCCACAAAGTGTCCTTACCTGCCTAACAGAGTTATTGTGGAGATGAGCTGTAGTTAAGTACTCTTGACTCTTAAGGCACAGAGGAATTTAGGAAAGTATTACTGTAGTCATGAATCTCAATAATGGCCATGTAATCACTATTAGAGCACTTGGCCAGCCTTCAGTCACCACTCCTTGATAGCAAATACTGAATCAAGTATTTGCTTGATTTGTTCCCTGCCTTAGATGATACGATATTCTTAAACCAGATTTAGAGACATTCAGGTTCCTCCCATACTGAGTTATAATAGCTAGGATATATAAACTGCAATACTTGCAACATACTGCTGGCTGAAAACCTAGAAGCGTCTGCTGCTATTTGGACTATCTGATAAATATTCGACCACTACCCTATCTTTTGGAGTGCCTATTTTTGACATTCTGCTCAAATAGGTGAATACTTAGCTTGGCTGACCAAAACAAACCCCACCAAACCAACCAAACATAGATCAGATTTGAAGAAGAATGGAATAAAATAAAGAGCTTGAGAATGTAGCAGCTGGACTGATAAATAACAAAATGTGATTACTGGGAAACTACATACCATGCCAATTGTAGAAGAAATCTGAATGTTTGTGTGACTGCACAAATCTGTAGACTAGAGAGGTTTGATGTAAGGGCACAGTTTTATTCTGTCCCCCATTCAAAGTGCAGTCTTTTGTTTTTTTATATTACTGTTCATATTATTCACGTAGAAAGTGTTTGGTTTGGTTCAACTGAAGAGCTTCAACAGGGCAAGAGATAATTAGAGGACTGTTGTCTAAGTAATGGCCTTGATACATTCAGATGAGGCCAAAAGTGCATCATGAAATTCCTTCAGGAAAGTGAAGCCTAGAAAGAAACCAAAATTCTGAATTTATTGCAGTTTCAATGTAGGACTCTACAGGGGTTGTGGATCAAATCTGCTACTGCAGATAATAATGTCACGTAATACTAATCATATTTTTTCCTCTGGATAGCTCCTGTTCTTTCAGCTTGTTAACTTTGCCTCATTCCAGTGGACATTTGTGAAGTGTAACGTTACTCATATTATTCTCATTAAAAATAAGCCTACAGGCATGCTATGCAGTTCAGAAAGTGCTATTTTTCCGTTTCTCTATATGTGATCTGAGACGTACTTTTCTCGGTCACCAGATTTTGCACATTTTGCTATGTCATATTTGCAGTGCGGAATCATTCTCTTGAGGGTTTCTGCCCCATTTCTCCACATCGCATCCCTGCAACACATACTCATCAGAATATCTAGCTTGCAACCAGTTACCACAGTTGTGGAAGCTTCTTAAGTCCTCGTCGTAACAGTAGTCCCTGACATTTAAAGAACTTCAGTTTATATTTGCAAGCCAAATTTCATACCTTCGTACCTCTTTCGATTAATCAAAGTTAAACCATTGTGTATGTGAAGGGGCCTCTTGTGGTTTCTAAGTAAGTAGTATGGCTTTTCTGGCAGAAAGCCACAAACAATTTAGTAGGCACATATTGTGGGGGTTGAGAAAGAGAGGCAGGGATAATCCGGAAAGCTTTAGGAAGGTCTGAGTGAAATCAGTATTTTTATATACAGTACAAGATTTTGCATTCTGTATCTTACTTTTGGCCACAGTAAAACTGTTTTGATGTGTTGTCGGTGAAGTAATTCTATAGCATTGACTTGGTTTTCCTCTCAGCCAGTTTTGCACTGATTTTGCTTCAGCTGAATTATTCTCAATTTGCACCTGTGGCAGAGAAGAGTTAGGCACAGGGGATTTAAGTCACATGGCATACAATTAAGTGTCATATATGTCACTAAATAATTTCCACGGGAATAACTCTAATATAGTTCCTAGTTGTCTTCAGAAATAAAAAAGTTTAATTTTGTAGCCTAAATGTCAAGATGAGGCTTTATCATGTAACTTTTGCCTGAGAGCTATACAGCTGTAAATAGATACTAACATAAAAGGTCTGTATCCAGCAGAGCTGATCTCTCTCTTTCCATTTCTGACAGGGGTCACATAGCCATTGTAAATTACCACCATAAACTAAATTCCACCTCTCCTGTAGAACAGAGTGCTTGATCTGCCTGTCTAGAAGCCAGGAGCTACACAGAGAACTGTAATATTTCAACAATTCAGCATGAGTGGCAACCTGTTCTTAATAATGAAGCACTGGCAACATTTAATTTCATTTTGTCTCAACATATTGAAATCCATGCTTTCTTTAGGAGATTTAAGAACTATCTGAAGGGAACCTGAAAACTAGGAGAATAATTCAAATAGAAGCACTATCTTCCTCTGTATTTCATGCAAGATTCAGGTTCAACATGCACATCTTGACATTAGTAGGGAATGAGTTACTCTTAGAAAAGGATACCCTAGACATCTCAAGAGGAATGTGAATTCTTCTCCATTTTATCTGTCATTTGGATTTAATTAAAAATCTAATTCAAATACACATTAGCCCTGTCAAAAGAGTTAGTGGATTTTAGTAGAAATGGAATTACAATTGAAAAATTTAAACTACTGTTGCCAAGTTTTTGGAGATATAATGATTTACACGAATGTTTTATAACTAAGCTACACAATGCTGTTAAAAAAGATATCTAGGCTAGAAAATATAACCTGAAGCTAGATCCTTATATAGATACAACATCTTGAATTCAGTCTCAAAGGTCTCAGAAACTGAAGAACATAGCACTTGAAAAGCTATCCAACAGACATATCACAGAAGTTTTGGCCCCAGTTCAGTATGTAACTACCTAGACTATTTTACACACTCCTTGTTTTATACTGAAGATGAATTCAATGTAAATGTTTGGAATTCTTCTTACAAACTTGTTGAAAAGGGACAGTATTCTAGCATGATTCCCTTGTACAAACCTGGTGTTTAGCAGATTACGTATGTTATTCTGTTATAGGTACACTACAGTGATAGACAAAATGGCAAAGAGTGTATGACCTGTTTGACACTGTCTCCTGTGCAGATGACTTTCCAAGGTATCGGAAGCTCCATTGAAGCCAGCCATGACCAGGTATAATACCTTCACCCCACACTCTTCTAATTTTATTAATATCCAGTAAGGCCAGAATGTCAGCATTAGTAAATTTTAAATTTCAACACATCTTGTGCTGTTCATATGGCATGTTCTTGTCACTGGGATTTGCCTATCTTGCCATAGTAAAATCTTGATTAGATCTAAAGAGTGACCCAAAAAGGAGACAAAATTTTACGTATTTTTAGGACATACTAGGAAAGCCTGAAGAGCTTGCTTTAGTTTTAAAGTCAGATACAAGGTTTTTGCAAAGGTTGTGTTTGATTTTATGCATGTGTCAGGTTTTGTCTGTCTGTTTGTATTAGAAGATTAGGGGTAGCTGGAAAAGCAGTGAGATGAAGCCATCATCTCCTGCCATTATCTGTCACAAGAAACTGGCATTTGAGAGGGGAAAGGAATTTTTAATCAGACTGTAAAACTCCCATTTTGTTTGGCTGTTCTTAAAATGTTTAATTCAAGTTTCTGGCGAAAAGCCAGGAGAAAAAAAACCCTCAATGTTAATCACTCATCACCCTTCTCCTTCAGATGGGAACTGAAGGGGGCTTCCGTTCTAATATTCCTGTCCTCCAACACTCTTAAATATAAAAGCAAGGCAAGACTTGGATACTCCAAAAGTTTTAAAAGCAAAAAGGAAGCAAGTAGAAAAAACCAAACCTTGCACCTTTCAAATCTTCAGTAGATTGGACACAGTACCAGTTTTATTTGCCTTTGCAGGCCATCTTTAAATTGTACTGTGTTCTCATTTACTATACATTTTATTAGACTCTGTGGAAGATTCTCTAAGGAAAGAGGGATAATTCTTAATAATTATCAGAATTAGTTACTTTTGTGGAAAAGTTTCGGACACTCAGCCATATTTTTGATTGGTGGGTTGTTTTTTTATTTTATTTTATTGGAAGTTTCTAAGAAGTTAGTTGTCAACATAAACTAAGCCCAATAGTTATTTACATGGTAACATGAGGATACTTCCTGTCTTTAAGTGTTTGGTGTTTTATAGTAATGGAGAGCTGTGGTAAGTCAGACCATACTTCAACATTCAGTTTTGATTTCATACAGCAACTTGTTTACACTGTTCTAAAGTCACTCTGTTTCTCTTTTGGTAAAGATCATCTTTTAAAATTCAGTTATAACTCAAATACAATATTTAGACATTTCAATGAATTTAAGGTGGTCCCTGTCAATTTGGTAACAACTACATTCTGGGCTACCAGCCAGCTTGGCCTTTGTCTTAGCATTTATTTAGGCTAGAGTATGATATGTAAACAGAAAAAAGACTGTGTAAGCAAAAAGCACATTTAAGCCATCTGAATAATTATATATTTAAGATATCTAAATGAAAAAGTGTTATTTAGCCTGCGAAGTCAAGCACCTAGAAATAAGGAAATTCTAGATTACGTGCAGCATTAGTTTGATCCCAAGTGTACCCATTCAGTGCTCCAAACAGGACATTTTTCTGGGAGGAAAAAAAAATGCCTTAAATCACATAGATAAAGATTTTATCATAGGATGTGCACAAATAGGTTTGCTTGAGCCATTATGTAGCTAGAATTTCCTAATCTTGCTTCAGTTTGAAGTTTAAAAAAATGTTCCTCATTGGTTCATTGGTTTTAGTTATGTAGTTTTCAACAGTGTTCTTAAAAAGGAAAGAAAAACTTTTTGTGATTTCATGATGGGGTGGTTGCATTACTGAACCCACATCACTTGTGCAAAGATTTCATCTGAGCCGAGAGCAAAAGAAAACAATCATCTAAAAGCCAAATGCCAACCAGTGGGTCACAAAAGAGATCTGCATACTGGACAGGATTCACAAATTTCTGCTTGTCCCTTTCCTAAATATCAAAGGAATTCCACTTTCTGGGAAGAGGGATGCTATTGACTGGTTGTGTTTAATAAGCAGGGTGGCAGGACTGGAATGAAACATTATTTGCCATCACTTGAATAAATAGAGAAAAAGAAATCGTTAGCAACAAACAGAAAGCTCATCAAGTGTCGGTCAGGCACTGAAGTTAATTAATGACAAAACTAAAGCGCTTAATGGACTAACTAAAAAAAAACAAAACCAATCAACTTTTGTTTCCTGTTCCTGTGCGATTAGTATGTTTTTGCTCGGTTTTCTACCATTTCCCTCACAGCAAGTTATCTTGCTACCATTATTATTCTTATAAAAATAGAAGGCAGAACTGCTGTACCTTTGTTAAGCTGAATTACCCACATTTTAAAGTTACAAATTAAATAAGTGCAAGATAGCCATGTGCTATAAAACTTCCAATTCTATAAACTCTTCTTTATCTTAAGTAATCTATTACTTTTAAATCATCTGTTTTGCATTATATGGTAATTAGGATGGACTAATCACCTGAAAACCTGTGATTTCAATGGAGGCATGTTGGTTTGTCAGCTGTGAGGCCTGACATAGTTTGACTTCAGGATCTGTCCACTTCTGTGCTTATGAATATGATTTTTCTCATGTTCATTCTAAAATGCAGATTTTAGAATTTCTATGTTTCTTAAAAGCAAAACTTTCTAAATGAGACTCTGGAATAGTTTGTGGGAAAGTGGTGGGAGCTATATTCCAGATTTGTCCCTATATTGTGGCAGCAGAACCACAGCTGGCCACATACCTTGATCAAAAAAAGAAATAGAAATTAAAAAAAAAAGAAAAAGAAAACCAGCTTCCCAATGGCATCTCCAGCACTATAGTCTGCCTTCTAGATTGGATTTGTCTTTTGTAATAAATCTCTCTACTCACATCCAGTGGTACATTTGCTTTTCAGCAGATACCAGGTGGTTATAATCCTACATAAGTATATTATCTTGCTTTTTCAAAAATGCCAAGACTTGACACAGCAGTTTTTCAAGTCACTTGCTCTTGTCCTGTACTCTGTAGGAAGTTTTCATTCTTTAGGTTGGTTTAGCTTGTGATTTTAATGAGTTTACATTTTTTCCTCATATACTTCGAGTTCTTTCAGATTAAAATAAACATTTCATACTTGTACATTAATTAGTGTGTATTTCAAATGACTGACTGACAAGGCATATCTCATTTGGTCATGAAGTGATACTGTGGAAGTAGTTGCTTCTCTTTCATTTTCCTTTGGCAAACAGCAAAAATGAGAAACATCCCTAAAGTACCACTGCAGTCTAGCCTGCCACATGTTTTGTTGGGCTTTGCATTTAGGTGTGCCAACTTCTTTGGTAGAAAGGTAATGGTTTTTAGAATATTTTTCCCCCAAATTATTTCTTTTTCTATTTGGGCCCATTTTGAGATTTTTGAATGCTTGCCATGGAATACTCAGCCCGTACAACCGAATTTTTAACCCACAGTAACTTCATGTTCATTGAGGTGTGACCAGTTCTCTACTTAAATTTCAGAAGAGAGATTAAAGAACAGTGCATTTTCTTAAAGTCTAGTTAATACTTTTTGGTGATTTTGGAGGTTTTAATATATATGTGGTTTTTGGAATTGGCGATACTGTCCTGTTTATTACTGACTTCTGCTGTCTACTTCACCTTGTAGTCCGAATGAGATGTGCTGCTAAAGCGATGACGGTGAATCTTTTCTGCTTATATTTTAGCCCATGCATTTTAATCCAATCCATTATATGTGTTGTATGTTAGACCATGTTTTTAGAACTTTCTTACACTTTATAATGCCTAAAATAGAACACTTTCATTTTTTAGAACAGATAACAATTGTGTGACGCTATATATAATCTACCACTATTATCACTTTTATTTTCAAGTGTGAAGATAGCTGGAAAGGGAATTAAGCAGGGGCAGAAATTGTAGAAAGGAAAGAGCTACTGATGAGACAGACTTGATAAGAGAGTCTGACAGGGAGGAGCTGTGCTGAAAGGAAGAGGCCATGCTCAGGAGTTTCAGAAATTGCTGACGGAAAGCTTGACAAACAGCAGTGACAAGCAAACTGAAATGTGGTGTGAGGCAAATCATCGTCGACCTGTAAACAGGCGTTTCTGGGCAGGGTTAACAGATTGTGGTGATGCCTAACAGTGAACAACTCCCGATGCACTTGAATACAGCAAAGGTGGAAGTAGTTCTCTGAGGATGAAAGACCTTGGAGATGGGTAACAGGCTCAAGGGAAGGTGTTTGGAACATTGAAACTTAAGGTTTAAGAAGAACTTTACCTGTAACAGCACATACATAATAAATGTGGAGGTCCAGATCTCTCTTTTTGTTATGGTCTGAGAATTGTAGGTCTAGGGAATTTATGCCAGGCAGAGTCGCTGTCTTATCTGTAAGAAAAGCAAAAGCCAAAAACCTGATGCTGTAATCAGTGAGTACGTAGAGGATGAGAATTTTGTCCAGTGCTGTAACTGAAAAAGATTAATGGGGTTGAGTTGTTTGGATGTTGTTGCACATCGTAAAAAAAGATTATTTCGTGGACATGACATTAATTCCTGCTTAAAATTATTTTTGTTCTAATGTGAAATGATTGTTTTCTAGATGTTCAGATTTATTTCACAGGGGGTGTTTTTGTCCTCGACATAACCAAAAATTAAGAAAATGTTAGGATTTTTTTTTAAATACATTTATTCTTTTTTTTGGCTAATGTTATGTGCTTCGCTTTTCAGCTCATTTCTACTTGACTTGCTATAAATGCAGTTCTCATTTCTTTGGTGTGGCTTCTTCAATAAAATGAGAAAACTTTAGTTTGACACAGTGAAAATCTTGTATTTTTCCCAAAGCTTGGCAATTCCATTACAGCCATTGCTGCATAGGACTCCTACCTGATCTTGCAAAAACATCTCCTTCTTGTGCCGGTGTGCTCCTGCTGGCTGCTGCCTTCTTCTTGGCAGCTCCATAATCTTCAGGGTGAGCCAGGCATGGCCCCAGCTGAGTGCCTGGTGCTCCAGAAGAGATAGTTCATGGTTTTGATGAATAGCACCATGCTTCACTCTTCTCTTGTGTTGGGGAAGTTACAGCCAGGAGTCATCCCATCAGGTTTTACTTAGAGTCA